CATACCAATCAGAGCAGCACTGGGCTATGTCGATAGAAATAAAACAAGCCCCAGGTCTCCAGGGCTGCCTTAGTTACTCTACCCATTGCTGGGGTAAAATGGCCCTGGCAAAGGCAACTGAAGAAAGGGTTTATTTTGGCTCACGGTCTAAGGGAAGTCTTTTCTGAAGGGGAAAGTATGACAGTAGAACCTTGAGTCAGCCGGTCACATTCTATCCACAGTCAAGAAGCAGACAGCAATAAATGCTTTTGCTCAGTTGATTTTCTCAGTTTTACGCAGCCCAGGATTCCAGCCAAAGAAATGGTGCCACCCACAGTGGGGAGATCTTCCACCTCAGCTAACCTAATCAAGGCAATCCCCCACAGGCATGCCTACTGATTCTGGGTCTCATCAAGTTAACAACTGAGATTAACCATTACAGAAACATAAACCAGGGAACTCATACCAAGTCCCCTGCTGGTCACCAGAGTTTCTCCCTATACAGTGACCTAGGGATCAGGCTCCATCTACCCTGTAAGGTCATATCTCAACAGATACTTCTAGAGTCACCCCGGCAGGCAAGCAGAGAGATGGCAGAGCTGTACCACCTCTTTGGAGCTCAGCCTGAAGAGACACAGGCCCCTCCCCCACACTTGATTGGCTAGACCTCAGTGGTCTCCATGAACTGTAAGAGGAGCCAGGAAATACTGGGTAAGGGTTGTTGGATTCTGCCACAGGGGAAAACAGTTCACTTGTGATGATAACTTCCATCTATGTAAGTGAAAACATCCCAGCAGAACCTCGAGGTGCTGTGTGTCGGGGAAGTGAATAAAGGAAGTCTCAGTATTGAGACGGCCAGGGAAAGCCAGGTGGAGAAGGGGGTCTGAGGTCGAACACCAAACCAGATGTCTGAGCCCCAAGCAAGCTCGTCCATGAGGTCCTTACAAGCAGTAACCATGTACAGACAAGTCAAGACACAACCAGGTAGGCCCCTGCATCTGAGTCATGCAGGAAGCCCAGACCTCAGTGGTCTGAACTCAGGAGCCGGCTTATATCCCACCGTTATAAGAATCTTCAGTCATGGGCTGTGGGGATAAGAAAATGGTTATCAAGTTCAACCCCAGGAGCCACATAAAAAGCCAGGCATGACGTCACATGCATACTGCAACCCCAGTGTCAGGGAGACAGAGACAGGCAGAGGCCTGGAGCTCACTGGCCAGCCAGCCGAGCTTGTTCTGTGAGCCTCAGACCCCAGAGAGGGGTCCTGTCTCAGAAAACAAGGCTAAGGGTTCCTGAAGCGTGACACTTGAAGTGACCCATGGCTTCCATCTGCATGCTTAAGCAGGTGTGCACACGCACACACACGTACACATGCATGCAAGCTCATGTGCAAGTGCATGCACCCCACCACACATGTGCACACACACATATACATCCCCACCACACATGTGCACACACACATACACCCCCACCACACATGTGCACACACACATACACCTCCACCACACATGTGCACACACACACACACACCCCCACCACACATGTGCACACACACATACACCCCCACACACATGTGCACACACACATACACCTCCACCACATGTGCACACACATATACACTCCCACCACACCCCCACCACATAAGTGCACACACACACATACATACACCCTCACCACACCCCCAAATCATTATTATTTTGGGGATACCTGACATTGTTCTAGGAGCCCAGAAGAGAGGAAAGCATGGGCGAAACACTCCCACCCCTAATCTCCCTGCAAGGTGAGGCTCTAAATGTCATGCTGCCTGAATCCTAATAACTCAAGAACCTGTGACATTGCTTCTTCCAGGCAGGGCATCCCACCTCTGTAGGACTGCTTCCTACCAAGACTACACTGGGCCAAAACCTGTGTGTGAGTACCTGGTACAAAGACCACAATGACTCCCTGACTCTTCCCTCATCCTTCAAAAAAGTCACATTATAGAAGAAATGAAGTAGACAGGTGAGATTTCTGACCATGGACTTGAACATCGTTATTTTATACCCTCTGAAGTTTTTCCAGATCTTTCTGAGAGGAGGAAGGGAAGAGCCACTTCCTGGGAGGTAGACCTCACTGCTGGAAAATGCAAGCCACTGCAGACAGGGCTGGAGATGCGGTGGCTTAATGCTAATTAATTTATTCTTCTCACTGCGCCCTGTTTAGACTCTCAATGTATTTAGCAGAGCCTGGGCACAGCAGTCCATCGAGGCACTGTCTACTTGGTGTTCATTGTCTTAAAGGGACCAGTACTAAAAGAAATCATCCATGTACTGAGCATCAATCACTCTCCTTTCCCAGAACCCCTCTGACTTTGGGAGTCAAAAGGTCATAATCGGAGAAGGAGAGTTTCCTGCGCCAATGTTTCTGGCCCACAGCAGACTATACAGCACCCATCTGGAGTGCCTCCCACCTCTGCCTGGTCCCCAGGAACCTAGACAGTCCAGACAGGCTGACAAGATACTGTGTTTTCTGGCTTCCAGATGACAATGGAAGCAACTGCTTGGCGTCCTACCCTCCCTTGCAAGACTACTTTACAATAACAACAAAGAAATAAAAATAAGGATTGCGGGAAGGATTGAAGAAGCTGAAGAGGAGGACGACCCCACAGGAAGACCAACAGTCTCAACTAAACCAGACCCAGGGAGCTCCCAGAGACTGAGGCACCAACCAGGAGCATACAAGGGCTAGTCTGAGGCCCAGGGCACATATGTGGCAGAGGTCTGCCTGGTCTGGCCTCAGTGGGAGTTGATGCGCTTAAATCTTTGAGATTTGAGGCCCCAGGGAAGGGGCAGACCTGGTGGTGGTGGGAACACTCTTTCAGAGGCAAGGAGGAGGAGGAAAGGAATTAGGAACTGTGGGAGGGGGGACTGATGGGGGCAATGACTGGATTGTAAATAAAATAATTTTTTAAAAACAGAAATAAAAATAAACCAACTTACAACAGCGACGAGGAGAAAGCTATCAGCCACCTACAGAGTCCAACGAAGTTCTGGAGGGGGCAGCATTTCCAGTCATGATTACATAAGTGCTACCTGTTGGCTTCCAGACATTAAAAGGCAAGCCACAAACAACAGAAAGACTCAAAGAGGTGTGCGGAGCAGTGTGGGATGGCCCTCAGCACAGGAAGCAGGAAGTTTTGTAGAAAGAGTAGGGGTATGAAGCAGAGTCATTACAGAGGAAGGTTGGGCTCAGCGTAAGGACAGCATTCTGTCAGAACTGAGAGGGGATGGTAAAGTTCATGGATCAGGTTCCTGTACTAAATTTGAAAAATGTCCTAGTTAGCTGTCAATTCCACACAACCTAGAATCCTTTGAGAAGGGAATCTCAATAGAAAGATTGCCTACATAGGACTGGCCTTCGAGGATGACTGTGGGGATTATCTAGATGGCTAGTTGATGTGGGAGGACCCAGGCCACTGTGGGCAGCACCATTCCCTACGCAGGCATTCCTGAACTGTATTAAGGAAGCTAGCTGTGCACAGGCCTGAGAGTAAGCCAGCCAGCAGCTTCCTTCACAGCTTCTGTTTGTATTCTTGTTCTGCCTTACCTTAATCATGGACTGTAACCTGTAAGTTGCCTTCGGTCAAACGTACCAGAGCAAGAGATGGAAACTAGAACCATGGAGAATAGAAAAAAAAAAACCAAGCCAAAAAACAAGAGATAATTGTCAATAAGCTAAAGATGGAGGCTTGAGAGTCAGCCAAGTCTCCCTCGTTCAAAGCCAAGGACTGACCCAAGGGCAGGTCACTGGGGACAAAGCAATGAAAGCAAATGTTCAGATTGGTGAAGGTCACATGAGAACTCAAGGAGACCCTCAACATGAAGGTCACAGAAAGAGGGGTCAATGTGAAGGTCACAGCAGGAGAGGTCAATGTGACCTCAGCATGACAGTCACAGTAGGAGAGGTCAAGGTGACCTCAACCTGAAGGTCACAGCAGGAGAAGTCAAGGTACCTCAGCATGGAGCAGAGGCCTTGTAGACCACCTAGAAGATACACCTCTCTGTGTGTCTGTGAGGCTTTCAGAGAGATGTGATGGAGAAGGAAGGACTCACTTGACAGTGGACTCGGTTCTCCACAGTCAAATAAAGGGGCGTGATACCCTGGTGAGCAGCGGTTCCCATCTTCCTCTGATTCCTGACAAGTGTAAGCAGTGTGCCCCGCTGGTCCATGCTCCAGCCTCCACTCCCTCCTCACCATGGTGGACTGAACCCTCAAACTATGAGCCCAGGTAAAGCCTTCTTCCTTTGAGCTACTTGCATTGTAATCAGTCAGCACCTCTGTGTCAACTGGGGCTCACAGTGACAGAACAGCCCAGTCAGTCTGCGAGGCCAGTGCTGCACACCTGGGGTAGGAGCAGCTGGGTGACTGCTTTCCCCTCTGAATCTCTTCCTGGGATGTTTTCATCTCTCCTTACATTTCCATGCTATGTTCCTAAGACCTAATGCCCACTCCCACGACCGTCACTTCCTGTCGGTGTGCACTGGTGACCAGGCCATCACCATCACAGGATAAACTGCACACCTGAGACCTGACCCTCAAACCTGAAAAGGCACAGCTGGTTGGGAGGCAGGAGAATGAATTCAGGCCAAGGCTGAAGAAGGAAAGGGTTCCACTGTGAGTTTTATACCCACTAAGGGAACTGCTAAAGAATGAAATAGTATTTCCTATGATGATATTACGTCTATTCGTTGTTTGTAAACCTCTCCCAGGCACCTTAAATGCAAGCAATACAGAGACGAGACAAACACTAGGTACCCATGGTTCCGAGGGGGTGTCTTAAGCTCCTTTGGCTCAGTACCAGACTCTCACTGAGGTGATGCAGGTGTCACACCTGTGGGCCAGGTACCTTCTGACTGTCCCTGGATATGGGAAGCCCTTCAAGAAAGGACAGGGTAGCCATTTTCTAATCCCAAGTGTGGGATTATAACATAGACAGCTGAGCCTCACTGTCCAAACGCGGTCAGGCAAAGGAGCCGTCTCACCTTAGCCGGTCCTCCTCCTTTTTGCGAAGATTGAAGTCTCTCTGCACCACTTGGAGAACATGCTCGGTCTCGTCGTCGGTCAGACCCGACAGGTCCAGCTTCCTCCCCATGGTCAGAGCTAAACATGGACAGCCAAACTAGATCTGTGGAGTGAGAGATCCGAGACTGAGGTTAGGACAGAGTTCAGCGTGGCCCAAATCCACCCTCCACACTAACTTAGACCAAACATGGCATGTCTGTGGAGCAAGGCAGACTGTTCCTCTGAACTCTCATGTGATACTTCCAGAGGGCTCTGGCCAGATGGCAGAGAATTGGACGGCCGAGCATCTGCCGTTTCATGTTCTCAGCTCTTAGGTGGAGACAAAGATAGCCTATGTCAGGCGTGGCAGAGCACACCTGGGACCCTGGCAACCAGGACATGGAGGCAGGAAGATCGGCCAGCCTGGGATACTATGAGAAAGAAGGAAGGAAGGAAGGGAGAGAGGAAGGGAGAGAGGGAGAGAAGAAGGAAACCAAACAAGCAATAACAGGTAATCTATCCTTTTCATCAAAATGAAACACATATTTCCACAAAGCACTGAAAAGCAATAGTCAAGAATTCTTAATTTCCATAGTTTGGCAGGTTATTTATAGGTATTCTATTTCAACACAAAATAAATTATAATGTATTCTTTAGACAAATACTATCCTATGTATGCTATACCCCTTAAGCTCCGCTTCAGGCCTATGCTGTAAACACTAGAAATCCCGGATGGTGGATAAGGCTGGAGGAGGAAGCCAAGCTTTATGTGTTGTGTGTAGTGTGCTTCTGTGAGTATGTAAGATAACACGGGCTGGCGTGTGGCTCAGTTGTGGAGCGCTTGCCTAGTGTGCACCAAGCCCTGAGTTCAGTCCCCAGCACACAGAGACTTGGATGTATGTTTTCCCACACTATAACCTCCACACTTCAGAGGTGGAGGCAGGAAGGTCAGAATTTCAAGGTCACTGAAGTTCCTTTTTAAAAAGGTATTTCCTAGTTTTTATCTATTGTATTCTTCTTTCTGTTTTGGTCTCAGTTATGTAAGAGAGTTCAAGGCCAGCCTAAGTGGCATGAGGCCCCGTCTTAAAAAATGAGTCAATGAATGAAAGAATGAAGTAACACCAACCTCAAACTGAGAAAAAGTAATAGACACGTGTCATAACAAACTCTCCAAAACATTTTAAGGATTACAATTGAGGATTTTAATGAATAATGACACTGGGATTATAATAAACAGCACTTTTAATGAGGTTTCCACCGGATGATTAAGATCTACTACAGATCACGAGTTTTACTTTTCATACAGGCATATTAAACAGCTCAACTGCCCACGTCGTATGGACAGTCACAGATGAGGAACGAAAGGCATGTGCTCACTTGCCCTCTAAGGAGGGACACCTGTCGTGGCTATCTCTCTGCCTCAGGGTCCCGGTCCTACACACTCACATCTCTAGCACACAGAGGACAAAGCAGGCTTTAACATGTGAGGGAGGGCCTGAGTCTCTTACCCTTCTTATTGTGTGCAAACTAGGGACACTAGGAACAGCAGATCCTTCTCTCTGTGTGCACATGTGTGTGTGTGTACACGCGTGTGTGTGTTTGTGTGTGTGTGTGTGTGGTGTAAGAGCTGGAGGGAGGGAGGGAGGTAAGGGGGGAGGGAGGAGGGAGGGAGGGAGGAAGAGAGAGAGAGAGAGAGAGAGAGAGAGAGAGAGAGAGAGAGAGAGAATTGTGTATATCCCATGTTTGTGCAGGTCTCAGAAGTCAGAAGAGGATATTTGTTGTGGTGCTATTGGGTCATCTGGAACTGGAGTCACAGATGGCTGTGAACAGCCCAACTGTGGTACCAGGAACTGAACTCAGGTCCTCTGAACAAGCAACAAGTGCCCTTAACCACTGAGCCATCCCTCCCGACTCCTTGGCTGTTCGGTATTGGTTTTGTTTTTAAAGCAACGTCTTACTGTGAAGCTTTGGCTGACATTTAACTTGGTATGTAGCCCAGACCGGTCTTGAATTTACAACAATCCTCTTGCCTCAGACTCCTTATTGCTGGAATTACAGTCACACACCACAACCCCATTACCTGGTTTCCTTATTTTTTTTTTTTTAGGTTATGTGATTTGTTGTTTTTTTTCCCATTTCCAAATAATAACAATAAATGGAGAAAACAGAGTGACTTTAGACCTTAAGTCTCTTGTGAGGGGATTTAAAACCGTGTGACAGCGTAATATAAACTAATCTCGAGATTTCCCCCACAAATCAGGACAGGAATGCTAAGCATTAGAAGCATTTACTTCCCATAATGCAATTTGAAAACAAATCACCAACCTGCTCTACACTGAGGTGGGAGAGGGACCTGTAGGTCAGGAGAAGCCAAAGCAGACAGAGTCTTGCTGGGGAGGAGCATGGTTAGCCAACACCTTCAGTAGACCCCCCACACACGAGGAGCCCTACGGCAGGCACAACAGAAATGTGGGTGGATATCTCCCTTTAAACACTCCACTACAGGGCTGGAGATGGCTCAGTGCATAAGAGCACTGGCTGCCCTTGCAGAGAACACAGGTTCAGTTCCCGGCACCCACATGATGGCTCACAATCAAATATAACTCCAGTTCTAGCAAATCAGATGCCCTCTTCTGACCTCTGTGGGAACCTGGCACACACACGGTACACAGACATACGTGTGGGCAAAACACTCACATAAAACTAGAAATAAGTCTGGGAGGAGGAAGAGCTAGGCTTGGCCACACACACACACACACACACACACACACACACACACACACGTAACCTCAGCAATATGGGGCAGAGACAGGAGGATTTCTGGATTTCCTACCTTCTAGCCTTGCTCTGGGTTCACCGAAGGAACAATGTGAAAAATGACACAGCAGGTCACTCGGTATCCTCCCCTGGCTTCCACACATATGCACATAGGGGTGACACACTTGCACATGGATGCACACCAATACCCCCCCACATACCACACACACAATACTACACATATATACATATACATACAATACTACACATACACACATACATATACCACACACACCATATAATACAGCACATACATGTATACTACACATAAACATACATATACATACAATACTACACATACACACACATACATACAATATTACACATAAACACAACATACACACACCATACACACACCCCACACATACACCACACATACACCACACACGAACAACACTACAAATACACACAGACACCATAACACACATATACACACATAACCCATAATATAACATACACACATACAATACTACACACATAACCCATATTATACCATACATACGCTATGCACACATACCATCCCATTAGGACCCTGTGGTGGCCCTTCCTTGAGGAGGACATTCCTGGCCTCATGATATCACTGACAATGGGAAATGAAATTGTAAGATGCCCGGATATGGCAACATGGATCTGATTGTATCTACAAAAAACTGACAAAGACACAAAAGAGGGCTCTAAATGGCCCAGACGCTGTACAGAGAGCACTTTCTGAGAAATGGTACAAGCCCTTCACTTTTGACAATGAGCACAACTATCGTCTGTGTGCAGTGAGTCAGACAGTGCCAGGTAGCTGAGGAAAGACTCGTCTCCACTGAGTCAGAGGGCACTCAGGTCAAACCGTATCTCGGAAGATGACACCTGGGAAAAGAGGTGCATGCCCAGACACCCAGCAGGTGCAGGCATTCCTGGCCCATCGAGGCTGCTACCACCTGCTTCCTCTGGCTGACACCCAACCAAGATGCAACAGAGGGAATCCGTCCTAAAATTTAGTAATGAGAAAATTAATACCAGTTCAGCATTTAATTATAGTGCCACCTCCCAAAAGTGTGCTTGCTGAGTTATTGTTCCCGCGAGCAGCTGTGACAGAGGAACTCTTTTGTAATAAATCTCAGTAAAGTGTCACACTCGGCCATCCTCGTGGGGCTACAGAAGGCTTATGAGATAATCAGCTCTAAGAAGTCTCTGGCCAAAGCAGCAGGTTGAGTTCGAGTTCGTTTGGCCCTGGACATGTGACTACAGGCATTTTCCGGAACAGCACCTGCCTTCTCACGGCTAACTGGGAAATGGCACCAAGTCAAGGCTCTGCTGATATGCACTGGTCACTCTCACAGGATCCCTGAACTGATGTGGCTGGCCTTTTGAATATACTTGTCAGAAGTCAGGTAATTTTCAGCAGTGCTTTGGCAGAACCAAGAAAGAGCTGAGAGGTAAAAAGCCATACTGTTCTTGCAGAGAATCTGTGTTTTGTTCCCAACACCAAGACAAGGGAGGCACAACTGCATGTAACTACACATCTCCCGCCTATGGCCTCTGAGGGTACCTACAGACACAAAACCACCACCACCACCACCACCACCACCACCACAAACTAATGACTTAAAAATCAAAACCAGTGGGTGCTGGGGATGGAGCCCAGCTGGAGAAGGGCCATCCTGACATGCACAAAGCCCTGGCTTTTAAACCCAGCACAGTGTATACCAGCTCTGGTGGCCCACAGCTTTAAGAATAAAAGACAAGAGCAAAACAAAGGTGGTACTCCTGGAGGAAGCTAGTCAACAGAGACCTTGAAAATGAAGATAACCTCAGACAGTGCAGGGACACTAAGAACACACTGTGGGATGTTCATGGGGAAAGGTCAGTGTTCGCAGTGGGTAACATTCTGGGCAGGACCAGAACAGAACCAATGACAGATGCCTGTGTGAAGTCCTACCAATGCAAAGTTTTGTGGGGTTCTTGCGTGTGTGTGTGTGTGTGTGTGTGTGTTTGACCTTGTATCCAAAGAAAAAAATTATTAAGTTGGAAAATCCAATGTCTTAAAAGTGAGGATATAAATACCATAGCATCTTCTCACAGACTAGAAATGAAGAAAATACCATTTCCCAAAGAGGAAGAGCAATGCTACACCTTTCCCATTTAAAATGACTTGCTTTTAGAGGAAGGGAGGAAAGATGGAGGGAGGGAGGGAGGGGGGAGGGAGGGAGGAAGGGAGGAGGGAAAAAGAGAAGAACTCAGCCAGGAAAGAAAAACAAGCTCACGGATGGGTAGAGATGTGTT